AGAGGACAGGTGTGTGTACCTGAGTCAGAGGACAGGTGTGTGTACCTGAGACAGAGGACAGGTGTGTGTACCTGAGTCAGAGGACAGGTGTGGGGTTCGTCCAGCATCTCGCAGTAAATGTCTCTCCTCTGTCCTTCTTGTCCTCTCCACACACACTCCATCAGCTTCCAGGACAGAACACACACACACTGCTTCAACACACCTGGGACCAGGCTGGGGGGACAGGTGGACAGACAGGTGCACAGCCAGGTGGACAGACAGGAGGACAGACAGGTGGACAGACAGACAGGTGGACAGACAGGTGGACAGACAGGTGGACAGACAGACAGGTAGAGAGACAGGTGGACAGACAGGTGGACAGACAGGTGGACAGACAGACAGGTGGACAGACAGGTGGACAGACAGGTGGACAGACAGACAGGTAGAGAGACAGGTGGACAGACAGGTGGACAGACAGACAGGTAGAGAGACAGGTGGACAGACAGGTGGACAGACAGACAGGTGGACAGACAAACATTAGTATTTGTCACATTTCGGGGGTCCTTGAATGCATCATGTGAGTGTGTATATCGTGTGTGTGTGAGTGTGTGAGTGAGTGTGAGTGTGAGTGTGAGTGTGTGTGTGTGTGTGTGTGTGTGTGTGTGTGTGTGTGTGTGTGTGTGTGTCTCACCTGTGCTGCAGCTTTGAGCTCAGGTGAGCGCTCCACAGGTATTCGGACACGCCCCTTCCCCCCTGCAGCAGTAACCTTGGCAACGCTCCGTCCCCCCGGCAGGTGGAGGTGTGCAGTAACCGTGGTAACAACCCCCCCGCCCCCCCCCCCGCTGAACGACGTCACCCTGACGCTGGAGCGCAGGCAGGTGCAAAGCATGCTGGGAAGGAAGTCGGGACAGGGCCGGTACAGGAAGTGGACGTGATGGAGCTGCAGGAAGACAGGTACATTCATATCTGCCCTTTCACAATAAAAGCCCCTCATATGTACATTCATATCTGCCCTTTCACAATAAAAGCCCCTCACAGGTACATTCATATCTGCCCTCTCACAATAAAAGCCCCTCACAGGTACATTCATATCTGCCCTCTCACAATAAAAGCCCCTCACAGGTACATTCATATCTGCCCTTTCACAATAAAAGCCCCTCATATGTACATTCATATCTGCCCTTTCACAATAAAAGCCCCTCACAGGTACATTCATATCTGCCCTCTCACAATAAAAGCCCCTCACAGGTACATTCATATCTGCCCTTTCACAATAAAAGCCCCTCATATGTACATTCATATCTGCCCTTTCACAATAAAAGCCCCTCACAGATACATTCATATCTGCCCTTTCACAATAAAAGCCCCTCACAGGTACATTCATATCTGCCCTTTCACAATAAAAGCCCCTCACAGGTACATTCATATCTACCCTTTCACAATAAAAGCCCCTCACAGGTACATTCATATCTGCCCTTTCACAATAAAAGCCCCTCACAGGTACATTCATATCTGCCCTTTCACAATAAAAGCCCCTCACAGGTACATTCATATCTGCCCTTTCACAATAAAAGCCCCTCACAGGTACATTCATATCTGCCCTTTCACAATAAAAGCCCCTCACAGGTACATTCATATCTGCCCTCTCACAATAAAAGCCCCTCACAGGTACATTCATATCTGCCCTTTCACAATAAAAGCCCCTCATATGTACATTCATATCTGCCCTTTCACAATAAAAGCCCCTCACAGATACATTCATATCTGCCCTTTCACAATAAAAGCCCCTCACAGGTACATTCATATCTGCCCTTTCACAATAAAAGCCCCTCACAGGTACATTCATATCTGCCCTTTCACAATAAAAGCCCCTCACAGGTACATTCATATCTGCCCTTTCACAATAAAAGCCCCTCACAGGTACATTCATATCTGCCCTTTCACAATAAAAGCCCCTCACAGGTACATTCATATCTGCCCTTTCACAATAAAAGCCCCTCACAGGTACATTCATATCTGCCCTTTCACAATAAAAGCCCCTCAGATGTACATTTGTATCTGCCCTTTCACAATAAAAGCCCCTCACAGGTACATTCATATCTGCCCTTTCACAATAAAAGCCCCTCACAGGTACATTCATATCTGCCCTTTCACAATAAAAGCCCCTCACACGTACATTCATATCTGCCCTTTCACAATAAAAGCCCCTCACAGGTACATTCATATCTGCCCTTTCACAATAAAAGCCCCTCACACGTACATTCATATCTGCCCTTTCACAATAAAAGCCCCTCACACGTACATTCATATCTGCCCTTTCACAATAAAAGCCCTGCACAGGAACAGCTGATCCAGGCTTTTATTGTGAAATGTGTCTCACCTCCAAAGTGTCTCCAGTTCTCAGCTTCCTCCTCAGAGCCGGCTGATAGGCCAGGCACAGCCCCACCCTCCTGTCCATCACGTACAGCCCCGCCCCCTCGCTCACCACCTCAGTCACGGTGCCCTATCAGAGGAGAGGGGCGGGGCTTACACACAGTAACAGCTTATCAGAGGAGAGGGGCGGGGCTTACACACAGTAAACAGCTTATCAGAGGAGAGGGGCGGGGTTTACACACAGTAACAGCTTATCAGAGGAGAGGGTCCTGGCTTACACATAGGAAACAGTTTATCAGAGGGGCGGGGCTTACACACAGGTAACAGCTTATCAGAGGAGAGAGGTGGGGCTTACATATGGTAATCAGAGGAGAGGGGCGGGGCTTACACACCGGAAACAGCTTATCAGAAGAGAGGGGCGCGGCTTACACACAGGTAAGAAGCTTACCTGGTAACTGATGACTCGAGACTTCTTCATCCTGACAGCCGATTGGCCGACGTCTCTCTCAGGCTCCGTCTCCTCGCAGTCCTCGACCTGTGACATCACCGGCGGGGGGGCCGTGGCGGCAGGTGTGTGTGTGTGTGCAGCGGGGTGTGTGTAGTCGGTGTGTATTTCAGAGCGCTCGGTCACACACAGGATGTTGTTTCCTCTCCAGCCTCGCAGGACACACACACGCAGCGCCGTCACACACACACGCTGACCCACACACACACACTGAGCCCACCACAGCCTGCTGCCCTGCACACACACACACACACACACACACACACACACACACACACACACACACACACACACACACACACACACACACACACACACACACACACACACACACACACACACACACACACACACACACACACACACACACACACACACACACACACACACACACACACACACACACACACACACACACACACACACACACACACACACACACACACACACACGTTAAATGTAGTTTCTAATGAGGATGAATCCAGATGTTTTCACAGCTGTATAAAACTGACATCACCTGAACTCACCTTGACGAGGACAGGTAGTGAGACAGGTGGTGAGACAGGTAGTGAGACAGGTGCAGAGTCGTCTGCCAGCGAGAAGCAGAAGAAAGACGTTCCTGAAACGTCCAGCTGAGGACAAACAGAAATCACCTGACCAACCAGTGAGAGGCGCTGACCCCGAGACCTGAGAGACAGACAGGTGAGAGACAGACAGGTGAGACACGCTGACCCCGAGACCTGGGAGACAGACAGGTGAGAGACAGACAGGTGAGACACGCTGACCCCGAGACCTGGGAGACAGACAGGTAGAGACAGACAGGTAGAGACAGACAGGTGAGAGACAGACAGACAGATAGAGACAGACAGGTGAGAGACAGACAGGTAGAGACAGACAGGTAGAGACAGACAGGTAGAGACAGACAGGTAGAGACAGACAGGTAGAGACAGACAGGTGAGAGACAGACAGGTGAGAGACAGACAGGTGAGAGACAGACAGGTAGAGACAGACAGCTGAGAGACAGACAGGTAGAGACAGACAGGTAGAGACAGACAGGTGAGAGACAGACAGGTGAGAGACAGACAGGTGAGAGACAGACAGCTGAGAGACAGACAGACAGATAGAGACAGAGAGACAGACAGGTGAGAGACAGACAGGTGAGAGACAGACAGGTGAGACACGCTGACCCCGAGACCTGAGAGACAGACAGGTGAGAGACAGACAGGTAGAGACAGACAGGTAGAGACAGACAGGTAGAGACAGACAGGTAGAGACAGACAGGTAGAGACAGAGAGACAGACAGGTAGAGACAGACAGGTAGAGACAGACAGGTAGAGACAGAGAGACAGACAGGTAGAGACAGACAGGTAGAGACAGACAGGTAGAGACAGAGAGACAGACAGGTAGAGACAGAGAGACAGACAGGTAGAGACAGACAGGTAGAGACAGACAGGTAGAGACAGAGAGACAGACAGACAGGTAGAGACAGACAGGTAGAGACAGACAGGTAGAGACAGACAGGTGAGAGACAGACAGGTGAGAGACAGACAGGTAGAGACAGACAGGTAGAGACAGACAGGTAGAGACAGACAGGTGAGAGACAGACAGGTGAGAGACAGACAGGTAGAGACAGACAGGTAGAGACAGACAGGTGAGAGACAGACAGGTGAGAGACAGACAGGTAGAGACAGACAGGTAGAGACAGACAGGTGAGAGACAGACAGGTCAGAGAGAGACAGGTGAGAGACAGACAGGTGAGAGACAGACAGGTGAGAGACAGACAGGTGAGAGACAGACAGGTGAGAGACAGAGAGACAGACAGGTGAGAGAGAGACAGGTGGAGACAGACAGGTGAGACAGACAGGTGAGAGACAGACAGGTAGAGACAGAGAGACAGACAGGTCACTCACCTGTTCTTCAGGAAGTCTGTTGCCTCTTTGACTCCCACAGCTTTGCTAAGCCCCGCCCCTTCCTCAGGGCCGACAGCCAATCCCTGCTCAGCTCCGGGACAAAGCACTACAGGAGGACCAATCAGCTCCACCCAGCCCCCCGCCTCCTCCGACCCAGGTACATCGTGGGGGATGTAGTTCCAGTGAGGCAGGAAGACAGGACGGTTCAGCCACAGAGGAGAGGGAGACAGGCACTGCAGGGAGACAGACAGGTGAGAGCCTGAAGGCATCACAGGTCCCTGAAGGCATCACAGGTCCCTGAACGCATCACAGGTCCCTGAACGCATCACAGGTCCCTGAACGCATCACAGGTCCCTGAAGGCATCACAGGTCCCTGAAGGCATCACAGGTCCCTGAAGGCACCACTCTACAGGTCCCTGAAGGCACCACTAAACAGGCCCCTGAAGGCATCACTCTACAGGTCCCTGAAGGCATCACTCTACAGGTCCATGAAGGCACCACCCTACAGGTCCCTGAAGGCACCACTCTACAGGTCCCTGAAGGCACCACTCACCTCACACCTCACTCTACAAGTCCCTGAAGGCATCACTCTACAGGTCCCTGAAGGCACCACCCTACAGGTCCCTGAAGGCACCACTCACCTCACACCTCACCCTACAGGTCCCTGAGGGCACCACTCTACAGGTCCCTGAAGGCACCACCTTACAGGTCCCTGAAGGCATCACTCTACAGGTCCCTGAAGGCACCACTCTACAGGTCCCTGAAGGCATCACTCTACAGGTCCCTGAAGGCATCACACTGCAGGTCCCTACAGGTACCTGAAGGCACCACTCTACAGGTCCCTGAAGGCACCACTCTACAGGTCCCTACAAGTCCCTGAAGGCACCACTCTACAGGTTCCTGAAGGCATCACACTGCAGGTCCCTGAAGGCACAACCATGTAGGTCCCTGAAGGCACCACTCTACAGGTCCCTGAAGGCACAACCATGTAGGTCCCTGAAGGCACCACTCTACAGGTCCCTGAAGGCACAACCATGTAGGTCCCTGAAGGCACCACTCTACAGGTCCCTGAAGGCACCACTCTACAGGTCCCTGAAGGCACAACCATGTAGGTCCCTGAAGGCACCACTCTAAAGGTCCCTGAAGGCACAACCCTGTAGGTCCCTGAAGGCACCACCCTAAAGCAGGGATGCAAACTCATCAGGTATGAAAAAGGTGACAAGGATCCGAGCCCCCCGACCCCACGGGATATCAGCTTTAAAATGAGGACTAACAGGATGTTAGCAGTCAGAACAACTAAAGCAGTTAATAACAGAAACGCCAAAGAGTCACATCTAATAGAAATATATAAAAGCATTTATTTTAATTCACAGTTCAGAGGTACATGGTGTACTTCTACTCCTCTACAGTTCAGAGGTACATGGTGTACTTCTACTCCACTACAGTTCAGAGGTACATGGTGTACTTCTACTCCACTACAGTTCAGAGTACATGGTGTACTTCTACTCCTCTACAGTTCAGAGGTACATGGTGTACTTCTACTCCCTAACAGTTCAGAGGTACATGGTGTACTTCTACTCCAATAGTTCAGAGGTACATGGTGTACTTCTACTCCTCTACAGTTCAGAGGTACATGGGTGTACTTCTACTCCACTACAGTTCAGAGGTACATGGTGTACTTCTACTCCACTACAGTTCAGAGGTACATGGTGTACTTCTAACTCCTCTACAGTTCAGAGGTACATGGTGTACTTCTACTCCACTACAGTTCAGAGGTACATGGTGTACTTCTACTCACTACAGTTCAGAGGTACATGGTGTAACTTCTACTCTCTACAGTTCAGAGGTACATGGTGTACTTCTACTCCACTACAGTTCAGAGTACATGGTGTACTTCTACTCCACTACAGTTCAGAGGTACATGTGTACTTCTACTCCACTACAGTTCAGGGTACATGTGTTCTTCTACTCCTTACAGTTCAGAGGTACATGGTGTACTTTCTACTCCTCTACAGTTCAGAGGTACATGTGTACTTCTACTCTACTCCAGTACAGTTCAGAGGTACATGGTGTACTTCTACCTCCTCTACAGTTCAGAGGTACATGGTGTACTTCTACTCCTCTACAGTTCAGAGGTACATGGTGTACTTCTACTCCACTACAGTTCAGAGGTACATGGTGTACTTCTACTCCACTACAGTTCAGAGGTACATGGTGTACTTCTACTCCTCTACAGTTCAGAGGTACATGGTGTACTTCTACTCCACTACAGTTCAGAGGTACATGGTGTACTTCTACTCCACTACAGTTCAGAGGTACATGGTGTACTTCTACTCCTCTACAGTTCAGAGGTACATGGTGTACTTCTACTCCACTACAGTTCAGAGGTACATGGTGTACTTCTACTCCACTACAGTTCAGAGGTACATGGTGTACTTCTAACTCCCTACAGTTCAGAGGTACATGGTGTACTTCTACTCCACTACAGTTCAGAGGTACATGGTGTTCTTCTACTCCTCTACAGTTCAGAGGTACATGGTGTACTTCTACTCCTCTACAGTTCAGAGGTACATGGTGTACTTCTACTCCACTACAGTTCAGAGGTACATGGTGTACTTCTACTCCTCTACAGTTCAGAGGTACATGGTGTACTTCTACTCCACTACAGTTCAGAGGTACATGGTGTACTTCTACTACAGTTCAGAGGTACATGGTGTACTTCTACTACAGTTCAGAGGTACATGGTGTACTTCTACTCCTCTACAGTTCAGAGGTACATGGTGTACTTCTACTCCACTACAGTTCAGAGGTACATGGTGTACTTCTACTACAGTTCAGAGGTACATGGTGTACTTCTACTACAGTTCAGAGGTACATGGTGTACTTCTACTCCTCTACAGTTCAGAGGTACATGGTGTACTTCTACTCCTCTACAGTTCAGAGGTACATGGTGTACTTCTACTCCACTACAGTTCAGAGGTACATGGTGTACTTCTACTCCACTACAGTTCAGAGGTACATGGTGTACTTCTACTACAGTTCAGAGGTACATGGTGTACTTCTACTACAGTTCAGAGGTACATGGTGTACTTCTACTCCTCTACAGTTCAGAGGTACATGGTGTACTTCTACTCCACTACAGTTCAGAGGTACATGGTGTACTTCTACTACACTACAGTTCAGAGGTACATGGTGTACTTCTACTCCACTACAGTTCAGAGGTACATGGTGTACTTCTACTCCACTACAGTTCAGAGGTACATGGTGTACTTCTACTCCTCTACAGTTCAGAGGTACATGGTGTAGTTCTACTCCACTACAGTTCAGAGGTACATGGTGTACTTCTACTACAGTTCAGAGGTACATGGTGTACTTCTACTACAGTTCAGAGGTACATGGTGTACTTCTACTCCTCTACAGTTCAGAGGTACATGGTGTACTTCTACTCCTCTACAGTTCAGAGGTACATGGTGTACTTCTACTCCTCTACAGTTCAGAGGTACATGGTGTACTTCTACTCCACTACAGTTCAGAGGTACATGGTGTACTTCTACTCCTCTACAGTTCAGAGGTACATGGTGTACTTCTACTACACTACAGTTCAGAGGTACATGGTGTACTCTACTCCACTACAGTTCAGAGGTACATGGTGTACTTCTACTCCACTACAGTTCAGAGGTACATGGTGTACTTCTACTCCTCTACAGTTCAGAGGTACATGGTGTACTTCTACTCCACTACAGTTCAGAGGTACATGGTGTACTTCTACTACAGTTCAGAGGTACATGGTGTACTTCTACTACAGTTCAGAGGTACATGGTGTACTTCTTACTCCTCTACAGTTCAGAGGTACATTGGTGTACTTCTACTCCTCTACAGTTCAGAGGTACATGGTGTACTTCTACTCCACTACAGTTCAGAGGTACATGGTGTACTTCTACTCCACTACAGTTCAGAGGTACATGGTGTACTTCTACTACACTACAGTTCAGAGGTACATGGTGTACTTCTACTCCACTACAGTTCAGAGGTACATGGTGTACTTCTACTACACTACAGTCAGAGGTACATGTGTACTTCTACTCACTAAGTTCAGAGGTACATGGTGTACTTCTACTCCACTACAGTTCAGAGGTACATGGTGTACTTCTACTCCTCTACAGTTCAGAGGTACATGGTGTACTTCTACTCCACTACAGTTCAGAGGTACATGGTGTACTTCTACTACAGTTCAGAGGTACATGGTGTACTTCTACTACAGTTCAGAGGTACATGGTGTACTTCTACTCCTCTACAGTTCAGAGGTACATGGTGTACTTCTACTCCTCTACAGTTCAGAGGTACATGGTGTACTTCTACTCCACTACAGTTCAGAGGTACATGGTGTACTTCTACTCCACTACAGTTCAGAGGTACATGGTGTACTTCTACTACAGTTCAGAGGTACATGGTGTACTTCTACTACAGTTCAGAGGTACATGGTGTACTTCTACTCCTCTACAGTTCAGAGGTACATGGTGTACTTCTACTCCTCTACAGTTCAGAGGTACATGGTGTACTTCTACTCCACTACAGTTCAGAGGTACATGGTGTACTTCTACTCCACTACAGTTCAGAGGTACATGGTGTACTTCTACTACAGTTCAGAGGTACATGGTGTACTTCTACTACAGTTCAGATGTACATGGTGTACTTCTACTCCTCTAACAGTTTCAGAGGTACATGTGTACTTCTACTCCTCTACAGTTCAGAGGTACATGGTGTACTTCTACTCCCACTACAGTTTCAGAGGTACATGTGTACGTTACTTTCTACTCCACTACGTTCAGAGGTACATGGTGTACTTCTACTACAGTTCAGAGGTACATGGTGTACTTCTACTACAGTTCAGAGTACATGGTGTACTTCTACTCCTCTACAGTTCAGAGGTACATGGTGTATTCTACTCCACTACAGTTTCAGAGGTACAATGGTGTACTTCTACTACACTACAGTTCAGAGGACATGGTGTACTTCTACTCCACTACAGTTCAGAGGTACATGGTGTAACTTCTACTCCACTACCAGTTCAGAGGTACATGGTGTACTTCTACTCCTCTACAGTTCAGAGGTACATGGTGTAGTTCTACTCCACTACAGTTCAGAGGTACATGGTTACTTCTAACTACAGTTCAGAGGTACATGGTGGTACTTCTACTACAGTTCAGAGGTACATGGTGTACTTCTACTCCTC